TTTGAATGTTGATGAGTAAAATTGCTTCTAAACATTTCAAGATTCTTTCCTAAAAATTAAACCAAGATGGTATATGCAAAAATCAATTTTCTTTAACTAGGTTATAAGTGCAAATATCACACCACTCATACTTAATTGCAGCTTTGTATTTGTTTCTTAGTTCCATTGTATAGAAGGCACACGAGCTTAAACTCAGTGAATATATATATATAATGAGTATTATCATTATATTAGTCATACGACCGAACCACTCATAGATTATTATACTATTTGAAAAAAACCTGAAGTGAGTTAGTAATTATCACGTATTTATCTTACTAGACATTTTTATTTTATTTATTTTTCAATAATGCTATATAGACAAACTTCTCATGCAAAATTTCTATACAAGCACATGTTGCAGTTACTACTTAATGAGTAACTTAATTTCATGAAGGATCAATGATTTATCATTATTCAATATTATATTACTATTTATCCATTGACACAGTTTGTATGGAATTTAGAATGAAAAATGAAAACTAAATGGATTTGTAGTAAAGTATGGATCTTATATGGTAAAGAAAAAGATGTGGTCTAATGATAAAGGGATTGTTTTGATTTGGGTCAAGACTAAGATTTAATTTTTACTATTTACGAATAACTAGCTATAATTATTCCTTAACATTATGTACCAGATTTGAGTTTATTTGGTGGAGTTAGTCTCAATGCATGCGAAAGCTAGCTTGAGAATACTTCAATATATATATATATATATATATATTTTCTTTCATGGAAAAAAATATATCACATGTGTTTGTAGGAAAATTTTATGTAAAAAATTTATGTGTATGATGTTACTCTTTTCTTATAATAACTAAAAAAGGAAAAACAACAAATGGCCCACTATTACTACATATTTAAAACACATGGGATTGTGACTGTTCACAACCCCGTTCACTTTTTTTTTTTTTTTTTGTTCCGACACTATTCGCTTTTTTCCCTCCTCAAGTTGTTTTGTATACATGCCTTTTCTTTCTTTCCCCCATTTTTTCCCCATCAATTTAGGTTCTTTTTTATTTAATTTTTTTGTTTTTAAATTATTTTATTTTGGTCTCTAAAATTTTAAAATAAAAATTTTAATCCTCTAATTGATGCACTACGCTTGCCTTTTCTTTTTTTTTCTTTTTTTTTCCTTTGTTTTTTTCCCCCATCAATTTATGTTCCTTTTTTTTTTTTTTTTTTTTCAAGTTGTTTTGAATACATGCCTTTTCTCCCCCTCCCTTTTTTCCATCAATTTAGGTTCTTTTTAATTTTTTATTATTTTTTTTTTTATGTTTAGATTGTTTTATTTTAGTCTCTAAAATTTTAAAATAAAAATTTTAATCCTCTAACCGATGCACTAATCATGCCTTTTTGTCTTTTTTTTCCTTTGCTTTTTTCCATCAATTAATGTTTTTTTATTTAATTAGGTGTTAAATTTTTAAAAATTCAATCGTTATTTTTTTTCGCACAAACTAACGATTATATAATATATATGATAGTTTTTATATTTATACAATACATTTTTAGATTTTATTATGATATATATATATTTTTTGTTTTAAGTTGTTTCAATATGCATGCCTTTTCTTTTTTTTTCTTTTCTTGCCTTTTTCCATCAAATTTATGTTTTTTTTTAAATTTAATTTTCAATTTGTTTCATTTTGATCTCTAAAATGTTAATCCCCTAACCGATGTACTACTAATGCTTTTTTTTTTCCTTTGACTTTTTCTATCAATTTATGTTCTTTTTTTTATTTAATTAGGTTTTCAAATTTTGAAAAATCAATTCTTGCTTTTTTCACACAAACTGACGATTATATAATACTACTCATGTCTTTTTTTTCCTTTGCTTTTTTTTTTCATCAATTTATGTTTTTTTATTTAATTAGGTGTTAAAATTTTGAAAAATCAATCGTTATTTTTTTTTCACACAAAATGATGATTATATAATATATATGATATATTTTGTTTTTACATTTATACGATATGTTTTTAGATTTTTGTATAAATATAAACTACTCTTATTGTTTAAAATTGATTTTTTCTATAAAAATTCTCATCAATTTAATTTTTATTCTTATTAGTTTTATAATTTTATTTATTAATAACTATGACTTATTTTCTCTATATATGGATTCGAATAATTTTTTTTATACCTTTTTTTATTTGCTTAATTGGTATATAATCAAATTTTAAAAATTTAATATATGTATTTTATTTTCTTATTTTTTACATAATCAAATTTTATCAAAATTTTATTTATAGTTTTTACTGTACTCTATTAACTTCAATATATATTTTACTAATTAATTTCTTGAAAATATTTTTTAGTTTATTTTATACATTCTCACATATTAAGTACGATCATGATGTATAAAGAAAATAACATTAGAGTCATTGATTTTATTAGAAATCAACTATGCATCTAAATACACAATATCAACTATTTGTTATTATTATTTAACATTAGAGTGATATATTTAATTTAATATATTTTAATTAATCGATAATATAGTATATGTTATCCAATTGAAATAAATATATTTAGCTCGAATCACAGCGTAGCGCGAGAATCCAAACTCGTTCATATATCTAAAATTCCTATTCACTTACTATTCATATGCGTAAAATTACTATTCACTTGATGGCAGTTTAAGTCATTTTTATGTCATTTTGTGTGTGTTTTTGGCCATTAATATACAAATTTAACACTTTTTTCTATTTTTCATCCCTCATGTTGTAACATTTTTTTCAATCATAAGTTTTTTTTTCTTTTCATTTTTACGCAACACACACACACACACACACACACAATGTTTTTATATTTTAAAATTAACATATACTTCATTTTATATTAATTTTATCATTTAAATTTTATTCTTTGAATTTATCATTTTTTTTTATGAAAATTCTCATCCAATTAATATTTTTTATATAAGATTTTATTTACCGATAAAATATAAGTTATTTTTCTCTATGTTTGAATTTTAGAATTAAATTTTAAAATATAATTTTTTTCTTTTTTTAAAAATAAATTGGTATTATATATACCATGAATTCATAAAATTTTAAATAATAGTTGCGCAAATATAAATATATAATTATTATTTTCTAAAAGATTAAAAGCGTATTTCAAATAATTGATCTCAGTTCATTAGGCATGGTTAAGATATATAAAAAAAACTATTGAATCATTAATTTTATTAAAAATTAACTATACATCTTCCAACATAATAAAAATTATTTACTATGAATATTTTTTTTAACATTATAGAACCAATTTATTTGAAATAAAATAATTAAACTAATTTTTTAAAGGAAGCAACCAATTATTCAAATATATTTTTTATGCTAATTTTGTTGATTATTTTGTGTATATATATATATAGATCTAATGCATATACTTGAAAAAAATAATCTTCTCACCAACATTAACTAAGAATAAATTTTTATTTTTTCATTAGTTAATTTTTATGTAAGTCTTTACATTAATTGTAACTTTATTTTTTGGATACATTCTTATGAAAAGAATATAATTTTAACGTATTTTCTTTTAAATTCTTAATTAATATCGGGTTTAAATTATTATAAGTTTTTATTTAAGAATTCCTGAATAAAAAAGAATAAATCATGTTTTTTAAGCGGAAAGTTTATGAAAAACACACAAAAATGGTAATAATTAAATAAAAAATAATGAAAAAAATTTAAAAACTTTAAATGATTTTGTTTTATTTGTCCATAGTGTTGCACGGATAATTTCAAAAATGAATCTTTTCATTAGGAGCAAATAAGATTTTCTTCTTCATTTGTTAATTTTTTTTAAAGTATGTCTATTAATTAAAACTTTATTTTTTGAAATACAATATTGTAAAAAATATATTTTTAATTTTTTTAATTCTTAATTAATATTTTAGTTAAAATTATTATATTTTTATTTTAAAATTAATCCATAAAAAAGAATGATTTATACTTTTTTAACTAGAAAATTTATAAAAAATATTAAATAAATAATTAAATAAAAATTTATAATTAAAAAAATTTAAAATTTTAAAATGATTTTTTTGCTATCGGATTAGCAGCGTAGCGCGAGCAAGCGACTAGTACTTAATATGAAAAGGTGGTCAAATTATTAATTGTACCTTACCAAAAAAGATTTTTTTTCTTAAAATGGGATACTATCCAACAAAGATGTGATGATGTATACTTGGTCATTGATATGGAGTAATTTTATATTACTCAATGAGTAATTAATGTAAATTACTTCATAAAAGAGAGAGATAAACACAAATAGGAAAGAGAAATAAAATAGAAAAAATTAAAAAATAAATTTAAGTCTATGTGAAAATCTTTTTATTACTTTAATTAGGAAATTTGGATATAATTCCTTTATATATATATATATATATATATATATATATATATATATATATATATATATATATATATATAGTGGACACATTGAGTAACTATTGTGCATATATACTAAATTATTGCGTATGTACACTACCACAACCAAGATTTGCATACCTTTTTTAGTGTTATTATCCAACAAATTGCTTATAAATTGGCTTCCACAAGAAGCGCTAATGGTGTGACTGAAAAATTCTTTGATATTCAATTTGCATATTGGTCTGGGAGAGTTCTTCAAAGTAACTTGTAAGTTGATCAATTAGACTACATACATACATACGTAAATGTGAGTTTGTGAGAGAGATTGACTACATCAAATGGCTTCAATTATTGGAAATGATACGATGGTGTCCATTAATCTCAGGCCTCATGGATACCATGCTAATTATTCTGCAACTGTATTTGTTTATTTAATTTATTTATGGGTATTAGTTTTCTTTAGTAATTAGACATGTGAAAAATTGTCAGATGTTGAATTCAATCTTGCGACTATAATTTAATTTTAATTTCTTTAGCTCTATCTAATGATAAATATTGTGTTATTTATACAGGTCCTGTATCCTTCCATGGCTTCTACATCTTTCATTCCGCAAGAACAATTCAACCTATTTCACTTGATTGATCGAGAGCTTTACACCCTTCTCGTGATGGCCTTATGGAGGGATCCCATGCAGTATATGCAAGTCATAGCTATTTGGATCTGGTTGGAAAGAATGGGCTACAAGAACGTGGTGAAGAAGATATTGTCCTTACCAAATATTTTAATAAATGAACTAGCAGATGAAGCAATCATATGCCTTAAAGCTATAAAAAGTAACCATCTTGCAATTTCACTCGAAATCATTGATATCCCTTTGATGCAAAGTATAATGGAGAAAGAAATCTCTCTTCAATATTTTCATGATAATATGCTTAATGCAATGGAAGGGGTGGCAAGAGTTGTAAATGAGGTATGCATTAGAGAATTAAGTGATATCATGCAGGTAGCCATTGAAAGAAATGCTGCTCAAAGCTTAATAGACAGACAAACAATGATCTCAACTTTTCAATATCAGTCCTTATTTCAACCTATGCCTCCAGAGGTTGCTTTTGGTCCCAATGAGATTGCCAAATCTTCAACCTCCTTAGGAAATGATGAACTAGCTGAAGATAGGACTATGTTTGTTACGTTCTCTAAAGGCTATAATGTGAAGGAATGGGAAGTGAGAGAATTCCTCGCTAGGAATTATGGTGATTGTATTGAGTCCCTTTACATGCACGATGTGGAGCCAACTGAACAACCTTTATATGCTCGCATTGTGTTTCGCTCAGCAACTACTATTCAAGTGATTCTTAATGGGAAGAGTAAAGCAAAATTTACCATCAATGGGATGCATGTTTGGGCGAGAAAATTTGTACCAAAACGCCCGAGATCTTCACTTCCCAACTTTTCACCAATTGGATCTTGAAAGGGAGTTGATTTCGAGTTGGGAGTGATTCAAGTTAAGGGTACTCATATTTACAAATGAGACTTTGAAATAAAATAAAACTGAGAAGCTCATAGAGAAAAAGTTAAGAAAGGAAATTGCTAGATATCAATGTACCTTACTTTCCTTGGTTACGTGCAATGCAAGATTTGATTTACAATTATCAATGTATCCTTATCTTTTCTATTAAAATGAGCAATGGATAGTATTGAATATTAAAAAGTATAAGCACAAAGAATCATGCAAGAGTTCAAAAAGTTGTATTCAATAATAATAATATTCTTTTATTAAAAAGGAGGTTTATATAGCCTAGTATTGGTCAGTCTAACTCGAAAAGGAATCCAAAACTAAATATTGCTTAAAGATATCTAAAAATAAATACCTAGGGGTGTTCGTTCGGTAATTCGGTTCGGTTTTGAACTTTTTTGATCGGTTTTCGATTAACCGAATTGTCTAAAAAAATAACTAAAAACCGAACTGAATTATTATTCGATTTTGAAATATATCGGTTTTTTTATTCGGTAATTTAGTTTTCACCTGTAATTATTTATATTTTTTATTTTTGAAAGGATCATGCACTTTTGAAAAAATAAATTTAGTATTTGCATTGCGATTTTAGGCTATATTCCTATATGTATACGTTTTTCAATCTCATCGAACTCGTCTATTTACTATTATTTTACTACTTCTCAATAGACATTACTAATATAATATCAATTGATATATATATATATATACACACAATATGAGATATTATCATTACCATATAAAGTCTAATAATATATAATATATGTTATTGTCTATCGATATCAGTAGATAATACCGCTAAATATGTGTTACAATTAAAACATTTTAACAATTTCTTCTAAAAAGAAACGAGAGATTGCTTTGAAGCTCAAATATAATCGACTTATTTGTCTTTATGAAAGACACTTTTAATTAACTTAACGCAATTATAACTAATAATTTTAGGTAACTTGTTAAACACTACAACCATAAGCTAAACTTTGCTAATTAAATGGCAATGTTGTTTTTGAACAATGAAGAACATTAAAGCTTTAAACACTCAACTTTCTTTAGCGCAATTTTAAATTATATATGTTTATTAAAAAGAGACATACTAATTATTATCGGGGTTCATAAATTAATTAGTTTTCTTTTACATAGAAAAAATAATACTATCTCACATCTTTTTTTTTTTTTTTTAAACTATAAATTGAATCAAGAAAGAAATTGTGTACCTCCTTGGGCAATTATAAACAAGAATTGGCTATGGTCATTTGGCGTTAGGCCAGTTGGCTCATGTAATTAATGCAACAAGAATCGGTTAGAGCTAATTGATTTAACTCCAATTAGCTTAGGTTTATGTGAGGGTGTGAGGATTGGAATGAACGACGTTGTTCATTGATGAATTTTTTAAAAAATTTAATAATTTCGGTTATTCGGTTTTAACCGAATTAAAAAAAACCGAAATCGAAACCAAAAACCGACTATATTTCGGTTCGTTTTTTTTGTAGTTTCGAAAACAAAATCGCACCGAAATTGATATTTCGGTGTGGTTTGGTTCGGTTATTTGGTTTTCACCGAATAGTGAAAACCCCTATAAATACCTACTAACAAAGTATAATAATAATAATAATAATAATAAAATATCAAAACTTGAAATAAGAACATTGTAGTGTCAAACTCGTTAGATTGGAAGGAACTTATCCTTGAGTTCAAATCGTTCTTTTCTCGTTCTCATCGATGCCTAATTAATCAAAACTCTGCAGCTCTTTTTTCTTTCTTTGCTTTAGGCATATAACAATTCTAGATATTAGCATCTTTTATTATTATTATTATTAAATTTTGCATAACAAACATCAATTGACAACTTATTTCTCTTTTGTTGACTTTCGGTTGCAAATCTTAAACTTCTTTTATTAACATATGTTGTATCCATGTAATTCTTAAATAATTATACTTTTGTAATAATAGTAGACTTGTAATAAGAAAGATCAACATAGCCTAGATCAATAAAATTCTCTTATTGAGCAATTCCTACAATCTTTTTGCACTCGACTTCTACCTTTTTCAATTCGGTCACCGTTGTTGAAAAAATCGTTACCTTTACTATCATTGTTGATGCCATAATTGACATCATAGTCATCATCAAGATAAACATCGTAGATTGAAGGAGAATCCCAATCCACATTCTTATACTACTTAAGTAAGGGACTTACCTTATTGAGTATCTTGCTTCAATCCTCATCAAATTTTGAAGGTTGATTTCAATTCATAAAGGAACTAGAATCATCAAAAGTATCAACTTTGAAATCATCTTTTCGTTGCTATTTTGGATTGAAGGAGGTCAAGTTTGAAACTTGAGTTGCTCACTTGCTCAAGTTTCACCTTGATTAGGAGTAACTCATATCTTTTATTGTAAGATGAATGATGTGACATTTCAGCCGCCATTATTAGAACTTTAATACACCTGAAATTTGCTCTCGTCACCAAAGCTCGATACAAAGTTGAGATCAACCTTGTGAAGATGGTTTCACAAACAAACCCTAGCTATAGTCGATTATGGAGAGGTTCAAGAATCCCACTACAACTTACATCTAACAAACTTCATAATCACCACCTTGGGAGATCAATCCAAGTATAAAGAAAAAACATAACATTAAGTATAAACACAAGAATTAAATCATGTAAGAGTTGAGAGAATTAGCAAGAAGTTGTATTCAACAACAATAATATTCTTTTGTTAAAATGGCACAAAAGAAGGCTTATATAACCTTAGTGTCATTCAATCCAATTCGAAAAAAAAGTCCAACTCGATAAAAGAAATCCAATTCAAAAAGGAATTAAAATAACCTTACAAATCCTAATAAAATATTTCTAAACTAAACTCTTAAAAGAAAATGACTCTAAACAGGAAAAAGAATCCAAAAAAAAAAAAAAAAAGGAACTCCAAACAGAAAAAGGAATCCGAAAATAAATATCTACCAGCAAAGCATAATAATAATTAAATAGTAAATTTAAAAATAAGGATACTCAAGTATCACTACCTTTCCCTTACCCAAACCAGATATAGTGTAAGAGTGCAGGAATAAAAAATGTATGAAATCATGCTAATGATTGTTCGTAAATGACCAATTGTTTTTCTTGATCTTGAGAAAAATGGGTAAACAATTTGTCTTAAAATAGAGGATCATTAATTTGTCTAAATTCGGTTAATTGGCTATGTTGTTAAGGTGAATGAGACCACATGTAGGTTAGTTTGAACCTTGTGTTTGTTCTTTAACTTTTATTTTTTTCATCCAATTTTGGTATTAAGAGATCACTTGCATAGACTTAAAATAATGATCAGATTGGCTTGATTAAATATAGTAGTTAATAATTTTGGATAAAGTTAAAATTGATTTATAGGATATAGAGATAACCACAAATAACTTCTGAAATCAGAAATGGTACTTAATGTTCAATATATAGGTATTACATGAAATAAATGGTTGGTCATCGATTATTTAATTTTCTCTTTTATTATAACGTTAATACAGCATGTAAAAGCTTTAATAACAACAACAACAACAAAAGGAGTTTCTCACTATGAAGTTTGTATTAGTTATAAAGCAAGGATAATTTTTTTGTAAGTTATCAGATCAAAACAATTAACGAATAACACGTCTCGTTTAGAAATTTTACGGAGATTTCATAACTAAACTAAATTGTTGGACATTGACTTATCAGTACTTTTAACTTTTAGAAAATTAGCATGATGTCCAAAGGTTAATTAGTTTAATTGTTTAGATTATTTAGATCAATCATAAGACTTTCTAAATTTTAAATTTTGTACTGACACGTAAGTAATAAATTTAAATGATTTGCAAATATTTTAAAAAAAGGTTTTTGGTCAGACATAGAAGATGCTGAGATCATTGAAGGACAAGTCTCCCATGCCTTGGTTATTATTTGGTGATTAGAATGAAATTATATACTCACAAGAGAAGGTTGGTGGCAATTTGTAGGAGTTTCATCAGATGAACGCTTTCTTTGACTTTGTATTTGACTGTGAATTAACTGACCTAGGGTTTAAAGGCTACAAATTTACATGGGTGAATAGGATGGGGAATCAGGATACCATTCAAGAGCGACTAAACTGAGATTTCATTATACTAGAGTCTGACACCTTTTGCGCATATAATAAGATCACGCCTCATTGCTAATTTCTTAGGGTTATGGTAATGAGCTAGCTAAACAGAAGAAATGCCTTTTTTGTTTTGAGGTTATATGTATAGGTTTAGAAGACTATGGACAGAGTATAAAGAAAGTTGGGAATACAATTTTGTTAGTTTGAATTCTCTGCCCATTGAACATAAAATTACAACTTGTGACTTAGACTTGGCCTTCTGGAACAAGCAAACTTTTGAAAATATTAATCACCAGCTTAAAGTGTTAAGATCACAGAAGGATAGCCTTTAAAAAAGCTTAGCAATCAGATGATGTTTTAACTGTCCAAAAAGATATTGAAAACAAGATAGAATTGTTATCTTGGGAGGAAACCATATGGTTCCAACGATCAAAAACAAATTATAAGAAAGATGGGACAAACTTGCTCGTTTTTTTTTTTTTTCCACTCAATGGTGAGCCTGAAAAAAATATATTTATGGATTAAAAAATGATACAGGTTAGTGGTTGAACAAAGAGGAGGAAATTCAAATGATGGTTACGAATTTTTTTAGACCCTATTCTCTTCCTCTGTCCCATCCAATCTAGAAGCTGTCACTAATGTAACGGAAACTAGAGTTACTTGGGACATGAATACATGTCGATAAGAGACTTCTCTCCGGAGAAACTCAAGGTGGATCTTCAATAAATCTACCTTACCAAATCTCCTAATCCTAATCTTATGCCTACACTCTTCTGTCAAAAATATTAGCACATCATTGGTAAAATCATCTAGTTGTTCACTTCTTAATATTCTTAATTAAAAAAAAAAA